GAAGAAGAAAAATCGAAACCTTTTTTTTTTTCTTTCTTATGAGTGGAAGTCAATCTGCGGAAAAGGCCCAGAGTCACCTTCAGCAAAGGAGTTATATCACCAAGTGAAAGAGGCTCGACTGCAGCGGCAACACGATTGGCCAGTGCGACGGAGCGGACGAAGCAGACGAAGCGGAAGAAGTATCGCTCTCATTAGCGTGCTTGCAAAGAAATGCATCAGACGGAGAGGAGTATTTTCCCGTGAAGACTGGCGCACAAGTGAGCACCCCCGTGGCCGCCTTTCCTCGTCAGCATCGTTAGAGGCAGAAACGACCTCCGACCCAAACCTCCTCGGAAGCGACCCCCGAAAGATCAACCGAAGCCACCATGTCGAAAGCCGTTTACGCGAAGATCTGGATGAGCACGAGGTTCTTCAACCTCCGAAGGAGATACGGATGCATGCAAGTTTGGTAAGTAGGACGGAAGTGGGAACGATCCCTCCACTACAACACATCCGCTACAGCGCATCCGCTACAGTGCACCCCCTCCCCGTTCTGCCACCCTCCCCGCAGCGGACGTCTGAGCCCCTGGCTGTGTGTCTTGTCCTTCTACTGCGTCTCGCTTGTCTTCCCAGCCCTCAGCAACGAAAATAAGAAGATGCTAACGTTCGGCATTTGGAAAGAAAATGACGTGGGATATAATAAGTGCGCCCCCCAACCATACTCGTGAGGATGGAAAAAAAAGGGAGAAAGGAAGAGACACAGGGAGGAGTGAATCTGTGTATGCTAGGGAGGAGGAAGACGAAGCGAAAAGGTTTTCCAGAACCCGGTTGGAAGGGGACCCCCTTCTCGTTTAAGCGGAGTGATCAAAGGACCGTAGATGTTGTTTATTCCTACCCAATGGGGAAGTGTCCGCCCCCTTTTCCCGTCCCCCCAATGTGGGGCTCTTAAAAAAGGGTCTCCATTTTGTGGCGAACAAAAGAGGGTGTAGTCCTCCACGTATGTGTGTATCTGCACGACTCAATCCAGCGACGCGCAGTCTTATATCGGCACACATCAGTGACCCCAGTGGAATGCCTTCCCTTTTTTTTTTTTTTTTTTTCTTTGTGTGTATAAGCCTTAATCGCCTTTGGCGACACAGTCTAGTGAGAAGTCCCTCCTCAGAATGATATGTCGTCCAGACGCTGATTAAGTGATTAGCTTCGAAATGGGTCAACAGACCGAGGGGGAACAACTGTGAAGCGCGCAATGCGAAATGGATCTTAAGAAAAAAAAAAAAAAAAAAAAAAGGACAGGGAAACAGCGGGGGGGGGGGGCTCCCTAACCGGGTCGTGCAACAGCTGCTAGGGTTGGGGAAAAAAAAAAAAAAAAAAAAAAATGGAACAATAGTGAAAAGTGTAACATCATAACAGTGTACAATGTGCCGATCTGGATGTCTCAAATGTCTAATATCCGCAGGGCGAACCGTAATTGACCAAAGAGGAAATTGCGTCCTGCCATCATTTGATCAGCATCGGCAGAGCTACTGCTACAGCGGCTGTTACAGCGAGGGCTACTGGTACTACTACTCCTCCTCGGGCGCTGTTTCCATTCCCCGATGAAGTGCGCCATTTGGTTTGGGGTCCTTCTGTGCCTGGTGGGGTGGGGAGCAGCGGTGGCCGGCGACGCGGTTGAAGACGCGGTTGGCGAAGCACCTAACAACACTGCTAACGAGGCGATTGGCGACGCTCCTAACAACGCCGCTAGCAACGCGGAGGCGCTCGCAAACTTCGCGAACCCGAACGAGCTGTACGACCTTCTGGCAGAGGAGGCCAAGGGCGGCACTCAAGATGGAGATCGCCTGAAAGGGAGCGCTGAAGATGGAGGTCGGCTCGAGGCGACCCCAAAGCTGAAGCGAAGATGGGGAAAGACGCCCAAGGGGCTGAGTAAAGTGGCACGAGTAGACAAAGACACCTTCTTAACGCTGTACGAGTCTGCGCTGAGTCACTTCGACGTGGATGGCTACGGCGCCTTCATTCAGGAGGTAATAGGTCAGAGGAGGGGTAGCGACCAACCAGGAGAAGCAAAGCGGTGGAGAAGAACCACTAGGCAGTCCCACCCCCATTGCGACAAGGGGGTTAGCGGCGGGGTAAGAAGTGGACTTAGCAGCCGTGTGGGGGCTGACGGGAGGACGATACCCCGTGGTGCCACAAAGGGAAGACAGACGAAGGAAGCTGGTGGAGGAGCCGCCACCAATGTTGAATATCCCGGAGGAGCGATCCGATCAGCCTACGGAAACAACTTAAGCAAATGGATGAAAGATTCTCTGCAAGATATAGAATCTCCTGCATCTATAAAAGAACCCGGACTAGCTAATATGTTAATACAGAGTCTGACCATGGTGAAGGGATTAATCCAATCAGTAGCTAGCTCAGTCGTCGATATCGTACCTCCGTTAATCCCTCCACCTGTCTGGATTAATCGACCACTTCCCTGCCTTCCAATGGTGACAGGAAAAAATTGTTTAGGTTCTATCCTTTACCCAATAACAGCTGCCGAGTTCGTCACAGCTGACATTACGGATTCTACTATGAATGGAATCATTTCGAGCTTCCCTGCTAAGTATGCTTCGAAAGTGGGAAAAACATCCGATGCGCAGTATAGACTATGTGCCATGGCTTACCTTGGAATGTATTGTGCGTCTCTCTTTCCCATCTGCTGGATGCCCATCGGATTGAAGGTCGCAGAGACAATGTCCGTTTGTTTTCCTCAATGTTTGGCGACCCTTATTGCTTGTCCTGGTTTCTGGATAGACGACATCGAAGGGCCTTGTAGCAATGCATCCGTGCCTCCGTTCTGTTCCTTCTCTGTCTTTGTTAATCAGAAGATTGTTCCTCCGCAATTGACTTCGTATGACGACTCTCATGATTATCCAGCTACTTGTCCGACCCCAGATTATGAATATGACTCTCCGGAAGAACTGTATCAGCATGATGATACCCATGTGGAGAGTGTTTATACGAAGAAGAGGGATGCCTATTCCAATGCAACTCTTCCGGTGTACCCAGATTTGGTTGCCAAACTTTATCCTGATGAACTCACTGGAGAAGAACTCGACACCTGCAGATGTGTTGAGATGAGTCACCTCTGCAGGAGGCACTTTGCCATTCCTGTCTTGAGGAAACGCCACCCCGTTTTTTACCCTTCCCATGAGGAACCAGTGAAGTTGTCCCCCCGCCAGAGCAGATGTTGCAGGGTGTGCAAGCCGATCTGGCGGGTCCTCTTTCCACGCAGATAGGCGGTGATAGGTGGAGCGCTACGAAGGGAGAGCCTTCCCAGCAGCCTAATGCCGCATAATGGCGTATAGTGCGATAGCGCGGCGTCCCTCCCCTTATTTCTCGAGGGCACCACTTCGATCCGAAGTCAAAGCAGCTTCGAGACACTCCCCACATGTTTTTTAAAAAAAAAAATTCAAGCCCACGAGGGCAAAGTGGCGGATGAAAGTACTGCCTATGGAAACAACTCCACTGCGCTGTGAAGAATGGCACGAGACGGGGGTGCACACAATCGTGCGCAGCGATGGCGGACGGGTGTGAGTTCCTCCAAAAGGGACGTGCACAAGTTAGAAAAAAATTGGCCAAGAA